GTGACGCCCCGTTCCACTCTGTCTCGACCGCCGTCCTATGATTTTCATGGGCGGCTACTCTGCCGAGCAGGCTGAGAAAAACGCCGGTCGAGGAAACGGGGGCTGGGGATTTAGCTTAGCGGCATAAGCGCCTGCCTTGTAAGCAGGCAATCGCCAGTTCGATCCCTGGTACCAATAAAAAAAAAAAAAAAAAAAAAAAAAAAAAAAAAAAAAAAACGAAAAAGATAAAAATAAAAAATAAAAAATAAAAAACAAAAAGGGGGAGTAAGCCAAGGCCTGCCTCCAAAGGCGCGGTTATCTATGGCAGGACAATGGATGGGCCCGGATCCAGTGGTCAGCTGGAACCGAGGCGCGGTTTGTGTTTTCCCACAGGAATCGGGACGAGAACCACTGTGGATACCGGAGAGACTGACACGGGCAACAAAGCCCTCGACTGAAGATCAGACCTGCCCTACTGGAGATCCATCACAGACCAACCAATAAGATGAATAGAAATAGCGGTAGCCCGAAATGGACAAGAAGATCCTCAGGCATATGCATGGCTTGCTCAATTGGCCCACGACCGAGTCTAGATATGGCGGGCATCCCTCATTCTCCTCCATAAGGTGACAATACACAGCAGGGTAGGTGAGTCAATGACGGGTAAGAGCGTGCCTCCCCAGCACGACTCGACCTAAGCCAGGCCCTACCCCATCCTGCACGTAAGCCGCTGGACTGTTAGATGCTGCCTAGGTCTAAATTTCTCTCCGAGGGGATTTCTTTACGGAGAGGAAATGAGTGCAAGCTTGTGTGCATCCAGGTTCCGTCCAGTTTGTGCCTGGCCCTAGAAAAAGGACGAGGGCCTCAGGGCCTTGGCAGACCATGGCATGGCCAACCAGGGTCTAAGCCAAGGACCTACGGTGGACCTACACATAGGGCATAAGCCTCTGCACCCAGTCCAGGAAGGGCTACGATGCGCACATTCATAAAAAATAAAATAGGGGGAGATGTTGGGAGCCGCGTCTGTGATAGCTCGCCTTGCGCGGCGGACGTGCGGCCTGTGGTAAAGAGCAAAGCCTGAGGTAGATTACCCCTCCCATCGAATATGTTAGTTTCCTGCTTACCGCGTAAACAACCCGCTCAACAATATAGTCTGCCTGGCAACTGATGATGTTAGCCAATCAGCTTGCCTTGCTTACTTTAACATGATTGGACACTGTACCCGTATATATACCGGTGCCACCCCTGGGCGGAAGAAGAAGCCAGGTAGAAGCCCAGAAGTAAAAGCCCAAAAGGAGCCGCGGAGAGCGGACCGGTAGAGGCTTTGGGGCAGACTGAAGCACAAAAGGAGCCGCGGGGAGCGGACCAGAGGAGGCTTCAGCTGGGAGAACCCAGGGCAGGCTGTACGGAGAAGGAAAATAAAAAGAAAAGGTTGTCCACTACCAGACTTTGTCGTGTGTCCTTCCTGCCGGCCGGGAGCGGACATCGACACAGTATATAATACATCTCCAGAATATTCTATGCACACTTGAGAAGAATATATATTCCACTATTCTTAGATGAAATATTCTCTTGTCTGATTAGCTATACTCTTATTGAAATCTTCTATTTCCTTATTACATTCCACCTAGGTTATTCTAGTTATTAAAATTGGAGTGTGGAAGTCTCCAACTATTACTGTTGCATTGCCTAGTTCCTCATTGAATTTGTTAGTTACTTCTTCCTATACTGGGGGAGCTATGTTTTTGGATTATATGAATATCTATGATCATAATACCTTTCCAATGTTGACATCATTATAAAATATCCCTTTTTGACTCGCAATATTTTTGTTTTAAATTCTTGTTGCAGCTTTCTCATGACAGTTGTTTGCATGGTTTATAATTTCCTACCTATTACTTTTAATATGTTTCTGTACTGCATTTAGATCTCAAATCAGGTCCTTAGCATAACTGTGTTTTTGTTATTATCCAAACTGATAATGAATTATTATCTACTGAACTATTAAAACTATTGAATTGTTTAATCTTTTACATTAAATGTCATTGCTGATAAGGTAGGACTTACATACGGTACCTGATTTTTGTTTTCTATATGTCTAATATGCATTTAATTCCTCTGTTCCTTTTTATACTGCCTTCTTTTATATTGAATGGATATTTTTGTGTAATATTATAATTCCTTTAATAACTTTAAAATTATGTATTTATTTATCTATTATACATATTTTCCCTTTTGTGTAGGACTTACAATGTGTGTGTGTGTGTGTGTGTGTGCGCGCATGTGCATGTAGTAGGGATTGAAGCCAGGGCCTTGTACATGACATAAAAGGCAAGCACTGTGACACTGAGTCATATCACTAGTCCTATAATATAATTTATCAAAATGTAAATTCGGTATTGTCTTGTTGCTGAGACAAAATATTTGACACCCAAAATGAAGGAAAGAAAGTTTTATTTATTTTACAGTTTGTGGATGTTTCAGTCCTTAATCAGCTGGCTCCAAGGCAGGGTGGCATGGCACTGGGGCGACACTTCAAAGCTGCAAAAGACAGCAAAGCAGCAAGAGCAAAATGGGGATGAGCAAGCCTCCTTTTCTTCCTTTATATTGTAAACAGGGTACACCTCTCATGTGAATGTAGCACTCACACCAGCTCCGTGCCCTCCTCTTGCACAGGCTCAGAATGTTTGAAAAATAAAGATCTCAGTTCCTTGCTGAGTCTCTTAGTTAAACTTCTAAACTTCTCTAATTGACACAGTGTATCAAACATATCTGGTATTACTTTATTGCAGTGAAATATAGAAACTTGCTCCTGTGTAGCTTTAATAGTTCCCCACTCTTTTAAAGTCTTAATAGTTTAAACAGGCAGGCATATTTATTCCATACCCAATATTCTATTAAAGTTATCACTTTATATAATCATAAGTATTTTAAATAAATATTTCATTTTTGTTGGTACATGTTTGTAGTACATAATGATGCATTCCTTGTGTGGAGCTGGTACATAACACCTCTTAATTGTTTCTGGCACTTCTCTCTCTTCTCCTTTCCCCTCACCTAGCCCTCTATCTTTTGGTCCTCTTCCCTTTGGCAAAAAGTTGATCTATTTTCTATTATTTCTATTATTATTCTTTTATTTTGCTTATTTATTTGTGCTTTAAGTTTAAATTATTTATTTATACAGCTTGCTATCTAAAACTTCATATTTACCATTTATGATTTTTTAAAATTTTATTTTAGAGAGAATAAAACCAAGAAGATAAAACAGAATAAAGTCAATCAAAACACAGACAGTGTGACACAGGATTTCAAAACAAGATAACAGGAAATAAAAAATAGTTACAATAATGCCTCTTGTTGTCTTCAAAGATAGCTGCCCGTACTTTTAGACATAGTAAAACCAAATAAAACAGAAACACAATAGAATCAGTAAAAACAAAACAAAGAATGCAATACAGGACTTCAAAACAAGATAATAGTAAACTCAAAATGGTTACTATAATATATCTTGTTATTTTTTAAAAATTTTATTTAAGGAGAAAAAAAACAGAAAAAGGGTACAAGTTATACAGAATTTCAGAAAAAACAAACAGTAGGAAATCACTAGTTAATAGATTACATATTGTCATCTTAGAAATAGTTGTTCAAGTTACAAAATTAAAGCATATAAAGTGGACATTCAAACAGTGAGATTGCAAACAGTTCTGTTCAATGATCCAACAAAACTCAGTAATATGGTTATCTATCTTATATACTTAAATATATATGCAGTTATATCCTTTAGAGCACTTTCTTTTCCTCTCTTTTGTACAATGACAATTAAACATTTTGGGTTTTATTACTCCCACATTTCTTATTACTTTTTTGAAGAGAATAAAACCAAATGTAACATAACAAAACAGTCAGTCAAATCAAAAGGATGGACATAGTACATAATGTAAAAACAGAATACAAGGTGATCAACAATGGTTACCATAATGCCTCTTGTTATCTTAAAAAGAATTGCCTATATCATTAGTTATAATAAAATTGAACAAAACAGTAAAGAACAAAACCAATAAAACCACAACATTGGAGACATTACAGGACTTCAAAAGAAGATAATAGTCAAACCAGAATGGGTGTCATAATGAATCTTATTGTCATCACAGTTGTTGCCTATACTCTCAAACTTGGTAGTATCAAGCAAAACAGAATAGAGGAAAATCAGTCAAAACAAGATGGTGAGAGCAATACAGGGTTTCAAATCAAGTTAATAGGGAATCAAAGTGGGTTACTGTAATATATCCTGCTATTTTTTATTTATTTTTCCCTTAATTAAAAAGATAAAAGTAAATAATAAAAAAGTAGATTGAGGTAAAAGAGGACATAACAACAAAACAGCACAGGGCAAAGCATAACCATTTAAGCAAAATAGTGTTTCACCACCAGATATCCCGACATAAAAGTAGTTACCATAGTGTCTCTTTCCTTGAAATCTTTGAGTATAACTTCGTATACTGTAGCATCAAACATATCAAGACAATGTAGAACCATTCAAGAGAATGACAGTATCACAGGGTATTTAGAACCAACTAACAGAAAATGAACAACGGTTTCTGTATAATCTTCTTGTCTATAAAAGTTTTTGTTTATATTATCACATATAATAAAATCCAATAAGATACAACCTGTTAAGACCGATGGAGACAGAAGAACAAAAGCTTGATGGGACTTCAAAACAAGATGATATTGAATCAGCACTAGCTATTATGATGTCTTATTTTGTATTTTTGAAATAGCTGCCCATACCATCAGATACAACAGAATCAAACAAGATAAAACAGAATAAAACCTCACCACATAAAACAATGAGAATGATGCAGGATTTCAAAACAAGATAATAGGGAGTTAACAATGGCCACCACCTTCAGAAGGATTCCCCATATATGCTATATTGCATATTGTTATTCTCTTAATAGATGATCAAACTGCAAAGTTAGGGAAACACTAGACACTACAAGCATTAAGTTATATGTTACCTTATTAGCTATCAGCATAGCCTGTGTGTCTCTGGATCAGCTGGTCACTTATGGGGCAAGGGAGGAACACTGGCTCTTCTTGTCTCCTTGCCTGTGTGCCAGAAGGGGTTGGCGTCTGGCTTTGCCTCAGTCAGCCCGCTCATGGTGACAACTCACAGGAGATTTTAGCTTCTTGTTGACTTCTTGTTCTCTCCTCCTTCATGGTCCACAAATCACCATTTATAGTTCCCTTTCTTTTCCTCTTGTAGATTCGAGTTGCCATCTGGTCTCATTTCCTTATTGCAGTAAAGCTACATTCCCACCTGCCTCTTTTGCTTTGTTATTGTCAAATAATATTACATTTATCTATGTTAAAAACCCTACAATCTAATTATATACATATTGTTTTATGCAATTGCTTTTAAATCAATTGAGAGAAGATCGGGAAGGAATATGGAATTATTTTGTCTTCATAATTACCTACATAATTACCTTACTGACACTCTTTGGTTATTTATATGGATCTAAATTACTATTAGTATCTTTGTTCTTGATGTAAATAACTATCTTTTGAAAATAGAAACACTAAATCTACTGAAAGAGAAGGTAGGTAGAAGTCTTGGAGACATAGGGATAGGCAGAGAATTCATGAACAAAATGCAAACTGGATGGGAAACGTTTCAAAGAATCAGTAACTGGAATCTCATATTATTGAAGTTTTTGCACTTCAAAAGAAATCACCAACAGAGTGAAAAGAAAACCCACAGAATGGGAAAGAATTTTAGCCAACAACTCCTCAAACAAAGGACTTATATCCAGAACATATAAACAACTGAAAAACATCAAGCCCCCCAAATTCAAAGACCCTTTCCAAAAATGGGTATCAGAGATGAACACACATTTCTCAAATGAAGAGATATACAAAAGGAAAATGAATATGTGAAGAAATGTTCACTATCACTTGTCATTCAAGAAATGCAAATTAAAACAGCACTGAGATTTCATCTCACTCTGGAAAGAATGGCTGACATCAATAAATCAATTGATAACAAATGTGGGTGAGGCTGCGGGGGAAAAAGGAGCACTGCACCACTGTTGGTGGGAGTGTGGACTGGTGTAACCTCTATGGAAATCAGTATGGAGAATTCTCAGAAGACTAAGATGGGAAGTTCCATTCAATCCAGCTATTCCCCTTCTGGGTATTTTCCCAGAAAAACTGAAAAGGTCATGTCACAGTGATATATGTGCACCCATGTTCATAGCAGCACAATTCGTAATAGCTAAATCTTAGAAACAACCAAGATGCCTATTGACCACAGAGTGGATGAAAAAGATGTGATATTTTTATGCAATGGAATATTACTCAGCTCTAAAAAGGATGATCGTGAGGCCTTTATAGGTAAATGGAGACAACTTGAGAATATCCTCATAAGTGAAATAAATAAGAATCATATTTATAAATATCATATTGTATCTCTAGTATAAAAACTAATAAGCAATATAGGAGTAATAAAACACAAAATGTATAATTGCTATTGTAAAAAAGAGGGAAAAAATGCTTTGAGGGATATAACTGCATGTATGTTTAAGTGTGCAGGATTGATAATCATATTACTAACTTTTTGTTGGATCGTTGAGCAGAACTATTTGCAGTCTTAATGTTTGAATGTCCACTTTGTATGCTTTAATTTTGTAGCTTGGAACAACTTTCTCTAATAAGAAAATATGTAATTTATCAACTAGTGATTTCTTACTGTTTATTTTTTTAATTCTGTATTATTTCTACCCTTTTTTCTGTTTTTGCTTTTTTTCTCTTTAAATGAAATTTTTAAAAAAGAACTATCTTTTGGTATTTTGTATGAGTACATCTGCAAGATTTTGCTTATTGGGAAATGTCATCATTTCACCTTCATTTCTGAAAAACAATTTTTCTGAAGGAGAGTCTTGAGTGATGGTTTTTATTTTTAGCAGTTTGAACGTGTTATCCCAGTGTCTCCTGGCATCCATTGTTTCTGATGAATAGTCAGATATTAATCAGATTAGAGGTCCCTCGTGCACCATGAGTCACTTTCTCTTACTTGTACCGGGAGTTTTTCTTGACCTTTGACTTTCAGATTTTAGACTGTGATGTATCTATCTATATGTGGAAGTCATCACATTTTTCCTAAAGGATGTGTAGCTTAATGAATATGCAGACTACCATTTCTTGTTAAATTTGAGAAGTTTTTAGTGACTTATTTTTTTAATTTTTAAATTTAAAATTTTTAAATTGACAAGTAAAAATTGTATATATTTATCATTATAAAATATTTTTTGAAATATGTTTATATCATGTTTATATCAATTAGTATATGCATTATACATGCTTATATACATATAAATCCACATGCATATTTTATGATAAAATACTTAAAATCTACTTTTAGCAATTCTCAAGAAAACACATTGTTATTAACTACAGTCACCATTTTGTATAATAGACTTCTGAACTAATTCTTCCTATATAATATCTGTCAGTGCTCAGTAAAGAAACCGATTTAATGCAAGATATATAAATATATATGGGTTTACAAGGTAGAGTTACAATGCTGCCTGCAGGATCAAGTGTGAAGGCATGTAGAAAAGCTATCTGAGTGCTATATAAAGATGCAGATGAAAATTGAAGGCATGGAGCTCACCGTGAAGTCTCAACCAAGTTCACATCAGGAGGCTGAAATTTCTGTGCTAGAGGCTGAAGAGTCTGCACGGGAGACCAGGAGACAACATCGAACTTGAAAATGAAGACTGGAGCTCCTCTGCATGAACAGAAGAAAGTCTCCTTTCTTTGTTTCATTTCTAGCCCATTCAGGTGGCAAGCCTATTGGTCAGTGCCATTCAGGTGGCAAGCCTATTGGTCGGTGCCATTCAGGTGGCAAGCCTATTGGTCAGTGTCATTAGTGCCCAGGGTAGGTCTTCTGTTTTAGTAAATCCCTTCAACCACACCCAGAACTATTGTGATTAAATTAAGTTGGGTGTTTCTTACTCAAATTGACACAACCAGTTAACTACACAGCAACTGAAATTTTGTCCTCTGACCAAAACTCCACCCCACCAAACGCATACACCACAAATTCCTTGTAATCATCACCCCACTTTCCACACTCCTATGAGTTGGATTATTAATTTTTTTAGATTCCACGTATAAATGAAATTGTGTGGTATTTGAGTCTGGTTTATGTCACTTAGTATAATATTCCCTACGTTTACTCATGTCGTCATAAATGATAGGATTTCCTTCTTCTCAGAGGCTGAATAGTATCCCCTTAAATATATATACCAAATTTACTTTATCCATGCATCTGCTTATGAACACATAGTTTGATGTCATAGTTTGGCTGTTGTGAATAATGCTACAATGAACATGGGAGTGTAGATAGCTGTCTGACACGCTGATTACATTTCTTTTGTGTATACACCCAGCAATGGGGATGCTAACACACGTTAGCTCTATTTTAAGTTTTTGAGGCACTCCCGTAAGCTTTCTATGGTGGTTGTACAAATTTACATTCCCATAAACACTGTACAAGAGTTGCCTTTCCTCCACCTTTATATCTTGTTTCCTATTCTCTTTCCTTCTTTTTTCTTTCTTGCTTTAATATATATTTTAGAGCAATTTTAGATTTATAGAAAAATTGAAAGTGTAAGAGTTCCAGTGGAACCCCTATTAACAGCATTTCCTATTATTAATTTCTTGCATCACTGTGCTATATTGGTTATAATAAAGGAACCAATATTAATACATCTTTATTAAACAAAGTTTATTAAACAAAGTTCATTGCTTACATTGAAGCTTATTTCTGGTATTAGTATTATTATAGTTTTATGAGTTTTGGTAAAACAGATGTCTTCTATCCATCATTAAAGTATCATACAGAATAATTTGGTTGCTCTAAAAATCCCCATTTTTATCTACTTCCTTCCATCTCTACTCTGAAGCCATGACAACCAGAATTATTTTTACTGTCTTGATAGCTTTGTCTTCTCCAGAATGTCACATTGTTGTAATCATATTAAATGGAGCCTTTTTCAAACTGGCTTCTTTCACTTACCAGTAAGTATTAAAGATCCCTCCATGTACCCTTATTTCTTTTACTACTGAGTAATATTTCACTGTCTCCATGAGTTACTTTATTCATCCATTTGTTTGAAGGACAAATTCATCCATTTGTGGAAGGACATCCTGGTTGCTTCTAGTTTTTGTGATTATAAATAAAGCAGCTCAACATATATGTGCAGATATTTTAGTACAACTACGTTTTCAGCTGTACTGTGTAAATATCTAGGAGTAATGATTTTGTAATAAAAACATCATCAGTTTTATTTAAAAAACTGCCAGAGTATCTTTCAAAGTGGCAGTACCACTAGCAATGAATGAGAGTTCCTATGGTTCTACATTTTTGTCAGCATTTGATGTCGTCAGCATTTTGGCTTAAAGCCATTCTATCTAGTAGGTGCATTGTGGCATCTAATTATTGATTTAATTCTCAATTAGAGAATTGCAAATTAAATGAATAGCTGTGAGCACCTTTTCATATACTCATTTATTTACATATCTTTTTGGTGATATATGTATTCATATTCTTTTATAAATTTATTTGTTTTCATAATATATTTAAGGAATTTTTTTGCATATTTAGATAAAAATCCTTTGACAAGGACATGTTTGGCAAATACTATATTTTCTTCTAATTTGTGGTTTATTTTTTCATTGTCATAGCAATATCTTTTACAATCTAGAAGTTTTGAATTTTATTAAAGCTCAATTTATCAACTTTTTCTTTTACGTACAGTGCTTCTGGCAACATATCTACAAATTCATCTCCAGATGCAATACTATCTAGCATTTATTCTGTTATCTTCCAGAGGTCTTACATTTCACACATTCATGTCCATGTTGAATTCTCTTTGCTAACATTGTAAGAATATCTGCATCTGTGTTCATGGGGGCTATTGGTCTGTTTTCTTGTAGTGCTTTACCTACTTTCATGATAAGGGTAGGTCTGGCCTCATAGAATGACTTTCGATCTCTCTGCTTACATTATCCATTTGTTTTTATATGTTGTCTACCTTTTCCATTAGAACTCTTAAAATATTAATTATATTTATTTTAAAATCTTTATTTGATTATTCCAAAATCTATGTCATATCTAAGTCTGGTTCTGACACTTGATCTTTCTTTTCAGATAATGTTTTTTTCTCGTTCAGCATGACTTGCAATTTTTACCTGTTAT